AATTATGCAATATAAAGCATTTATTACTGTTTCTTTTTGAACTCACAGATCTGTTTTTAGACGTTTGACCGCTATAGCTTTGGCAAATCTCAGGAGTTTTGAATTTGATACACGAAGATAAACTTATAACGTCATGAAACGTTAACTTTTCTATATGTGACAGAATCCGTTTATCTTTAACACTACGTCATAATTTAAAATATTTACATACAAATTCAACATAAATATTGCGTATATGTAACGGGAACATTATCTCTTCAGTAAGATGTGACTTCGCAACGCCAATTACTGGCTCATCAGCTCCGATGGGCGAAACAATAGTGCTAAAATTAGCTTTCTTATTAAACAACTCAATTACACTACATTCTGGCCTTTTACTTGGTGTTGACCTAATGTTAAAAATTAGTCAAAATTTATCTACTGAAACAGTCTATAAGAGCTCCATATTCAGGGACAAAGGTACATGTAATTCGTCGAGACTTTATATTGGTTTGATCTGCTCCTATTTCTGAGGCGAGTTCACTTGAAGGTTAAAAATTACTATTGGGATGTGCACTACGTATGCGAACAGATATAAGCAGTATATAGCAGGAATTGGAAGTAGAATACGCACCAGCAGAAAAGTACAATAAAGAGAATAAACAGAAAAACGAAGAGCAATCACAATAAAAACAGGATTAAGAGAATGATAAAGTGTGTAAAAGACAATGTATTTGACAAATAATTTTAGCAGTTTACCAACTCCCTGTGTAATTTTACATAAGACGATATATTAGTTATCCGTACCCAAGTTGTCGATCATTGCACTATCATCAAATAATAAAAATTTAGTATAACATCATGGGCATTATTGGCATTCTCTAATTTAAGTAGTTCTTTATCAACAAAACGGTTTACGCTAGATTTGCTTTCAGAATAAGATTATACATTAAGTATTTCAACTATTATTCCTTAAAAATCTAACTTAGCTTCCTATTTTCCTTTGAAATCATCCTAGTTTGACTTTTGAAACTGTTTACAACAGATGAACCAATAACTAATAGATCATCTCTATCACAAGGCTTTTTCTGTTTAGAAATAATTATACCTTGTATAAAATTTTGTTAAGTACATTACTAGTTTGCCGTAATCTGTGGTGCGGTAAGTTATGACTGAAAATTGATTTGCTTGCAGGTTAACAGAGACTTTGTCACCTATTCACTAAAATGATTGCAAGTTACAATACATACTGACTATTGGTAAGTAATATAATTTAAAAAATTAAGAATATTTGAGCGAACAATTGTTTTCAATAACTTCATCATCAGGCTCTACAGTTATAAGTCCATAATTATTGTGATATTTTACAAAGGCCAAAAATAAGGCATGTATTAATGAAATTTGACAATGTTATGTGTTAAAAAATTGGTGCACTTTTGCATCTGTTACGATATATATATATATATACTTCAAAATGGTATTATTTGCAAATGAGAAAGGTCATTCAATAAAGGTCAAGCTGATTTGGAGTAGTGTTCAATCGAAATAAGTAGAATAGTATTATAGCAAAATCGAAAAACAAAATTGTGTGAATAGAATGCGTAGTAAGAGAATTTCATCTTGTCAATTGGGATAATAATAATAATAAAATTGTGGTGTGAATATAATATGTAATAAGGGGGTAGGGGGTGTTATCAAGGTAACTACGATCAACGAATTGGGAATGATAGATGTGAAGATTAAGATAGGGATAATCAAAATTAATGATAATAAGGAAAATAAATAAAATTAGGGGAAGGGGGTAAGAGGTTTAAAATATTCAGACTAGGTATTCGGTGATCCAGTCCTAGGCCAAGGTAAACATAGAGGCTGGATATATTTTCTCTGGATACATAAATTAGGTCTTCTAGAGTTGATCCAGATGGCTTCGGCTATGTAAAGTAGACGTAATCTAGCTCCTTGAGGTAGATATTTTGGAACTTGATATAAAACAGAGAAAGCTTCCTCTATTTTGATATGATGTTCATTATCTACCAAGTGTGAAAGAATAGCACTGTTAATAGATTTAGTAACTCCTTTTCCCAACCATGCCGGCACATGTTCACGAACACGCAAGGATAAAGCCCTCTGAGTACGGCCTATGTAACTAGCTCCACAGGAGCAGTTGAATTGGTATACACACATGGAGGAGCCCATCTTCGGTAACCTATCCTTGATTAGTTGTGTGAGTACTGGTTTAGTCGAGAAGATTATGTGTAACTTGGCAGCATGAAACGTCCTTTCGACCGATCTTATGAGTCGGCGTGTTAAAATCTCACCCGCTATATCCCCTTTAAAGTCAAGTCTCAGATACAAGGTCTTTTTTCTGACTGTTTCACAATGTCTTCTTTTCTTATTACTTTGTAGGAGGTATTTTTTGACGAAATTATCAGGATATCCATTATCTCGTAATGTATTCTTTAATATATCTATTTCGTCATCTACACAGTCTTCAGAACATAATAAATTGATTCTGTGGCTGAGACACTTAACCAAATTTATTTTATATTGAAGGGGTGTGAAGCTTTGGAAATGGGTATACTGACCCGTCCATATATACATATTATATTCACACCACAATTTTATTATTATTATTATCCCAATTGACAAGATGAAATTCTCTTACTACGCATTCTATTCACACAATTTTGTTTTTCGATTTTGCTATAATACTATTCTACTTATTTCGATTGAACACTACTCCAAATCAGCTTGACCTTTATTGAATGACCTTTCTCATTTGCAAATAATACCATTTTGAAGTATATATATATATATATCGTAACAGATGCAAAAGTGCACCAATTTTTTAACACATAACATTGTCAAATTTCATTAATACATGCCTTATTTTTGGCCTTTGTAAAATATCACAATAATTATGGACTTATAACTGTAGAGCCTGATGATGAAGTTATTGAAAACAATTGTTCGCTCAAATATTCTTAATTTTTGAATATTCTATGGGGATTTTTAAACTGCTAATATAATTTAGTTTACACAAAAAAATCAGGCACAAGTGGAGGCTATGATTCAATTAGCTTTAATTTAAACTAATCCCATTTACAAACCATAGGAATATAATGAGAAAAGCAAGCTTAAATAAAAGGATATGATGTATTTATTAAATAGAATTCAAACAAATGATATGATTCCTTCAACGTACTATCTTTTAAATAAGGCAAGCCAATCACATGAAAAATAAAGTGACGAGTGAAAGAATGGATGATAAGCATTTTTAGAATGACAATGAGTTATGTTCTTTGATTCTTAAATTATGATGACTTCTTAAATAAAAAAAGAAGAGGATAGTTATAACAAATGAACTTTAGACTAGTTAGGTAAATTGTTGACAGACAGTTTAAAATGTATTGGTAAATTTACTGACTTGATGTGACTACAAAATGATGTAATTCAGGATTACTTAGCAACACTTAATAACCGAGATACTACCAGTATATCTACAGTCTGTTAATATAAAATAAGTAAACGAAGGTTTATTGGGCAGTATATTTTAAATAACTGACAAAACTGGAAAGAATAACTACATTGTCGAAACAGTGTATCATTAAGAGCAAGAAGGAAGTGCATTATCATTTAACTGATAGACTAAAAATGTATACATTCTTCATGATACCAAGTGTTCAAACACATGTAGAATAATGCTCCTACATATACCCCTACAACTTTGTACCCCTCTATTTTTCTAATGTCATCGGGGTCAAGTTGCTTTGGAGATTTGGTGACGCTTGTTAGTTTGTTTCGATTCGGAATAATTTGTAGTTCATCTATGAATAACTAACCAATGTAGTAGGAAAAAATAAAGCAGTTTGCAGAAATAAAATTTAAAACACTTTCTTTATCCAATCAACGAGAGATTCTCTTATCCTATGTTTTCCAGCTGCAAATGAGCCTCGCTAACATTACCAACCATAGTTCTAAATCAAGTCATAACAGTGTTTAGTGTCCAGGTTATTTTTACTATTCTCTCATATAATAAAGATTTAAGCATCTTTGTTATGAATAAAATCGATCATAAAGGAAATGTTTTATCCGTTCACGCTGTTGAAAGTTAATTCAAATGATATTAGAAAACTCGAAAAGAAAATAAGCTTCATTTTCTTGCAATTCTTTAAAATGGACGATACTGAGAAAGAGGAGCCTATCACTTGGACGAACAATGATTCTAAACTTCATACATAATACACGTAATATTAAAAATCCATAGACCCAATATCATTCATTAAGACAAGTAATATTTGTGCGCTATTCACATACATATAAACCAGTAAAATGAGTAACAAGATATTTAAATCCATATAAAATAAAACATGACCAAAAAAGTTTATTTTATCTTTGATCTCGCTCTGGTAGTAGCTTGTTTATTTTTCATTGTATAGGCGATTCAAGAATTTCTTATTTCTTACATGTTGTGCCACTGTCTTCTTGAGTTTTCATTTATTTTTTTATCATTCATTCAAATATTTATTTAGCTAACTGCATTTAGTTTTCATTTAAAATCAATCGACATATTAGTGTGCAATTATAGTATTCGAAATAGATCCTACAAATATACGAAATTTGCGAGACTACGATTTATGGTAGAACCAGATTTAAGATAATACGTCTTGGATTTTGGTGTGAAATTCACTCATCCAAAATGGCTAAATAGCATTTTTGGATTTTAGCCGATACAAGTTTGTGACGAAGACCCTAACTTTTATTAACAACCCTAAAGTCCAACTGTAAATCCTAATTTCTTGTGAATGTTAAATATTAAAAACAAACTGTCACCTAGAAAGCTTCCATGTAACACCTTGCGGCTATGAACGAATGAGAGCTTATTATTATGTGACTACATATATTATTGTTTTCTTAAAAGCACAATTACGGTTTTAGAATATCATGTCAGACATTAGACGTTCATCGAAAACTGAATGATGAGCATGAAAACTGTGATCACTTTACTTAATCAATATTGTTGACAATAAAATACAGATGAGTCAAATTAGCCATTGAGTTCTAACGCAAACTGACCATCCTTAATTTCCAGTTTTATCTGGATTAGATTCCTTTACTTATTTTTTTTTCGATACTAAAATGATATATATATACCTCCGGCTGTTACTCATAACAACTCATTTTTATCGAAAACTAGGCCTATATTTCTGTCACCCAGGTAGGTTACCATTCTTAATCACTAGTTAAACAACTTACAATTTCTTGAAAACAGATGGATTTAGATTATGTGGAGACGAGCACCTGAAAACTAGGATTATGGGGATTGAGTTGTAGTAGTAATCGGTAATAACAAGATTTTATGTGAATAATACAACTATCAGAACTGGAAAAATCTACATTTTAAAATCAGTGGATTGGATGCTAGACATATATAGCACTTCCACATAATTGAAACACTCACTAACCAAAAAGATGCAGTTGAAATGTCTGATTTTGGAGGGCTTCCATGAACGTTTTGAAGAATTGAAAGCAAGATGTGACACAAGTATTATGATAAACAAGAATATATTTAAGGAGATATGACTAAAGTTATAGGATGCCTAGTTCAAATCAAATTAGTGTAATAAAGAATACTGAGTTTCATTCTTTGCTTAACAATTACTGTAACTAACTAGTACTTAAAAGAAATGAAAATTGTACATAAATTGCTATTTTTTGGCTAATAATGAATTTCTGTTTCGATTTCAACTAATATTTGCTACTGTTTCAATGAATCTGCTTAAAATACTGCATAAACAAAAATGAAACAATATCTAGAAATTTTTATATTTTAATGAAAGAAGTAAGTAGATTTCAAAATTCGAAAGCCGAATTCAGTTTTTTTCACATTAAAATATTATACTTCTGTGTATATTAAACGGTAATGAATATTTTACAGCAACGCGATAATATATGGTCAAGCTAAGTCAAATGAAGAAATAATGTTTAGAATAACGGTTCTAACTATTCAGTCAGTGTTCTTGATGTCTCCAGTTCTTTCATAACATATAGCACACGCTCTTCTTGCCATGGTTTACCAATGATTTGTACACCAACCGGTAAGCCTTCACTTGTTTCCTGATACTTGAATACCTCAGAAAGAAATCGATTGCCAACTTTCTTGTATTCTTCAGCCATCACTTTTGAGTTTTGTACATCTTCCTTATTCACATATCCCATTGGAACTGTTCCAGCTGGATAATCTAACATGTTAAACAATACTGTATAAGCGATAGCTGGTGTAACAAACATCGATTTGGCCGACTTTGGAAATGCTGGGAAAGGGAGAACAGGACAAATGATTGCATCCAAATTACCAGCTTCTTCCATAGCTCTTTGAAATTCATGTCTATACAACTCAATATCTGAGATTAAATCTAATGTTTTTGCTTCGCCTCTAGGACCATCCAAAAAACTTGTAACTGCAGCTGGTCTACCAAAGATAATTTTCAATAATTTATCTATTATAACTTTCAGACAGTGTGGGACACCAATTAAAAGACGAAGAAATTTGGTGTGTTCATTTAGTGGTTCTGCAAACAAAGCCTCTTGAAAATTATATTTTGTGTCAACAGAAACTGCCTTCATACTTAATTCATAAGCCCATTTTATGTTGGGTGGATGAAACGGTAACAATATATGACCGCGTTGCCTTAGAATGTCCACTGATTCATTCACTATTCTGCGAACACTTGGAACGCTAGTAATAATTAGTGGATCCTCTAGGGTCGCATAATATCCGATTGTCAATTTCGGGTTATCTGTACCCGAGTAGATCATATCATTAAACAGTAATGGTGGCACATATGGATCCCTTTGAAACATTTTTGTTGTTAAAAGTGTACGCATTAATTTAGCTAGATCATCCACTCGTCTACCCATTGGTCCAACACTTACTCTCAATAATACTGACTTTTTATGACCGATCACACTTACACCTTTACTACTAATACGATTAGTTGTTGGTTTTAAGCCAGCAAGACCGCAGAAAACCGAAGGAATTCTTATACTTCCAGCCAGATCTGTTCCAATTCCAACTGGAGATCCCCGTAAACTTAGAAGTACACCTTCACCGCTAGAACTCCCGCCTGTTTCATGTTCTGATGAATGAGGATTGGACATATCACCAAATACTGGATTTATTCCACTCAGAGATAGAGCTGTTTGAGAAGTTGCTGTCAGAACAAAAGGTATTGCTCCCTCATGTCTTAGCACTTCCAATATGCAACAATCTTCATGTGAAGGTTTATTACATCGTTTTATCAAACCAAATGTCACATCATATCCCTTGGTCGAACACAATTCTTTTAAACTAATAGGAATACCAACCAACGTTTGTTTACTTGTAGGTAAGCGATTCAAGTTAACAACGTCAACAGCCAACTGTTCTGCTTCATCAAGAAATTCACATATTCCTGAATTTCCTGAGTTATATAGTTGTAAAGCTTTAATTTGATAAGCATGTAATAAGTCAACTGGTGTAAATTTGCCTTCAACTAAACCTTCTTGAATAGTATCTAAATTCAGATTTGTAACTGCTAGTAAATCAATATTTGATGAGCTCTTCGTAGATGAAAGATGTTCTTTCAGATGATCCATTCCTTGAGTTATTAATTGTCTTTTACGTAATAATTTAATGCGCAATTTAGACTTTTTCTTGAAATATTTCACAACATAACCGAGAATAAATACGATGAAAATCGGTAATAAAATTAGACGAATTGCATATTTTACTATCCATGCCAATAAAGTCGGAAGTAAATACCAACAGAATCGTAAACCTTGTTCCATATTTCGGTTTCTAAAATATACAGAGTTTATACCATTATGAAATATTAAATTCATATCAGTTATGGTTCTTATATAAATAAATGATTATTAACTCATCGTATACAATATTGCAGTTCAGTTATGTGAGCTATGAGCTTCATTTCTACAAGTACAGTTGTCTGGTACGTGACCTTGAGAGTTATTCTACGATCCAAATTTATGTATTATTATCATCTTATATATTTATATAATTAGCTTACCTATATATCTGATATTGGGAGATATGAAAAACAGATTAATAGATATGCACTAAAAAAGGAAAGAATATTCTCGTAGTTATGTTTAAAGTTCCTAATATAAAACTACTCCAAACATTTCGATACATTTATCATTGACTCTGTTCAGCTTCCAATTTATTTTTATTTTAAAGTAAACACTTAGAATGAAGATCAGAGGTTTAGTGACTAAAGTATTCTGCTTTCAATATGTGTTTCACAGATTTCAGCTTCATTCTATTTATTCCAATTTAGGTGGCTAGTGAATATACAAGCCCCCACATGAAATACACCTGAAAGTCGAATACAGAAACTTAAACTTGGTAAATATATTACAGTGATAAATTAATTAAATGAATATACAACAAAAGATGTTTTCGTAAGTCTAAAGGTTTATTTAATAACTGAAAGAAAGAGGAATTGCAAGATAGAAAGATTAGACTAGGAGTTATGGATTTTAGATTACTGAAAAATTATGCAAAGCGTATTAAAACACAGTACTATAAAATTCAATTATTGCAAGTACAAAGTAAGAAACTAAGTGGAACTAGAAAAGGTCCTAATAATTGTAGTCATAATTGAAAAACCTAACTACCTAACTTACTACTCGATATTAAAACAGTAGGATTAAATTACAAGATGAAGTTATGATAAACCACTAAATAATGAATAGCTTTATTGAAATTTGCAAAAGAGGATTTACATTTTAAACTATATATATATATACATATATATATATATATATATATATATATATATATATATATATATATATATATATAATGAAGTTACATAACTTGAATTATGTTAAATATATTGTTCAATGTGTTTGCTCTAAAGGGGACCTGGATAGGAAACATCATTAGCAATGAAACCGTGATTTATTTAATGTCAGACTAAATGACTGGAGCTATTTGTAAATGAATAGTAAGAAAAAGTTTAACTGGATATTTGTAACTACTCGGTTTCAAGGAAACATTAGACAAGTAGACTATTTTTACAAGTTTGGCTGAGTTTCTGAAGGCTGTCACATTTCAAAAGCGAGAAAAACTAAAACGTCATAAAATACCTTATCTAGTGCCATGTCAAGTTCACATGAGTTATTCTAGCTTCCAGATAGATCAGTTTACCCATTATACTCAAGCTACATTCTGACCTTGTCACTTATCCGCTTATTAACCCTGACTGTTTTTATATGAGCATGCGTGATAATCCCTTACCCTGCTCACCACATTTCTCCAGCCTATTTTTGTCTGACTATAAATGTCAAGTCACGCTTGGTTAAATCGATTCGCCTTCTTCAATCCGTTTCGCTTCGCTCTGTTCTTCGCTTCGTTTCTCTGATCATCTGTCTAGATCGGCGATTATATGAAATGTATTATTCGAAATACATTTTCGTATTTCACTTATTTGATTCCGTTATTCACTAACGCGATTTAAGTCGATAACCTTATACGAGGATTGGCGTCATGTATATTTCAATAACGATCATAATACTATTTAAAAGGAGTCAGATATCGAGCCAGTAAAAATGGTCAGACAGTCGATAGCATTATCTTCCGATTTAATTTGGCATCAAAACGAAGGGCCACACCAAGAACTAACTTTCTGAGTTGGTTTTCTAATTTATAGGACGACAAAAGATGTGTAATAAATTGGGATTGACAGACCTTACGGGAATCTGGGAAAAAACTGTAGAGTTGATTAAGAGGGCAACAAACTGAAACTTGTGCTTGATTAATTTAGTCATCTTAAAACAAAATTCAATTAGATCAAGTCATTTGTGTTTATACAGACAAAATTGGCCATTATTTATAAAATTGAATGTTATCATTGATAGATAAATAACTCAAAATCATCAGATGTTCAATTATATATGGATATGATTACATGTCTATGGACATTCTGTGTTTAACTTTTAATCATGGTAACTTTTTCTATATTTTATTTACGAATGTGTTATTTAAGAAGTAAGAATAAGTTTATGACAGCTGGTTATTTTCTTTTAAATATCTACTCATTCGACAGTATTTTGTCGGTTATTTTCTTTTTATGCGTAACCATCACTCTATAATGAAAACTCATTCAGATAATCGGTTAGATAACCATATATCTAATATTTATCCACTATAACAGTTGAGTGTACATTGTGATCGTGTAATTACTACCAATTTATAACAGTGAACATAGACAAGTTCTAATTAAAACAAAATATTACCTAGTATAAGCTGTACAAATGTGAGGCAAAAAGTCATTCTTCGTTCAAGAATTTCAAGCACCTCTCTTATGATAACAAACTAGCAAAATAATGAGCACAATGACTAATACAATAATCCTGGCATCCTACAACAGCCTGCTATAAATACACATACAAATTGAAGCATCGTAAACATAAGCAAAAACATGATTTAGATATCATTACCTAGTAACTGATCGACATCACGATGGCATACTTAGATCACGTATATATATTTTCTATTTGACCTGGTTTGTTCACTTTTTCTGTTTAGGCGTATATTTATTAGAAGAAAGCCATTCATTCTCTGACGAAATCCCTGTGCTAAGTCACAAATTGTATTTAGAAGAATGAGTTAGGACATTATAAATGTTATTTTTAGTATAAGCTTCTCATTATGAATTTGTCAGGATCGAAATATTTGACTTGAATTTTTTATTTTTGAGAGAACCGCCAAATGTACCCAGAATACTTTTATAATTTTCCTTTAGAATAAATTTGGTTAGGGTTAGTAAATAACGTGATACATACTGAATTGAAGACCCCGATTCTACTCATATGAAAATAAATTGTACATATCTGTATGATGACATGTTTTTCGATTGATTTAAAGCCTAGTTAAGGTGTCTCTTCCATAATAACAATGTTGATTATCGTCCTTTACTCAGTTAATATTTTTTTCTACTATTAACTTCGTATTGTTGCACATATTTATTCACATTTCTACATAAAATCAAATTGAGTATTTCTAGGTTATTGTAGATTTTATTAATGTTTGAACTGAAGAACTTCGTACTGTCCTGATATGGAAGCTTTGAACCACCACAGTTTAATATGAACAGTAGAAACATTTGAATACGTACTCTGTCAGTATAAATATCAATACACACTATTAGGAATTATATTGCATTTAATAGTACTGACATTCAGTTGACATGATCTTCAGTCACTTAAATTATTCTCAGAGTTACATTCCTTAATTTATCGGGTACACTCACAACTGAAGACTAAAACGTTACAAATTTTATTAGCCAGTGTCTAGTTGATTTGCATAATTTAGCTTCAATGGGGATCATCGCGTGATGAACTGATAAATGACATCTCATACTGATACCACTGTATCAAATAGTGTTTAATATACTTTAATCAATATTGAGACCTATACAGCATAAAAATGGTTATTATACAATGATGTAACAGAAAATAGAGCCCTTTCCTAGTATACGGTAAAATCTTTACTGTCCGTGAGAAATTGGCTTGGTTTAATTAACCTTATTTATGTTTTAACACATAACGGCTAGATAAGTTATATGTGGTATTTCCATAACTAAGAAACTCTACCAGTTCAAATCTAAGCAATCTTTAAAATACTTACTTGTGAAAATATTTTTGAAACAAAGAACTGATAGATTATCTTGACAGATGTTACAAATTATTCCCACTTGTTGACTTCGATATTTGAACACAACTGATTTTGAACTTCATTTTTTTCTTCTATGGTGAAATCCAGAACTTTTATTGGTTATTTATGAAGTCAAATCAGTGACAAGATTTTACATCAAGGTTACAGAAAATGTCCAATCAAACGTAAGACAGAAATATGTATGGAATAAAGTCGTAATGATCTTGAACAGCATTGATTCTAATTTATTAACATGACCCGATTAGAAAATCGTTTTGACCTTGAAAGGCTTTTTTCCAAGTGACGTTAGTGGCAGCCAATCATTGATCGCTGTTATATTGACTTGGAAATTCGATCTATTTCGATCATTGTGTATGAACAAAAACCATTTGAAGATGAAGTGATATTACTTATTCTGAAATGTGTTAGTTACTCAAAAAAAAGTCACATGATTTCAATGCTATAAAGTTATCTAAAACCAATTATCCTACAGTGTTAACCCTATGAAAATGAGATCCTTATTTTTTTGATAATTACAAAGCCATTAAATATATCAGATACGCAATGTTTGTAAATTTAATATCATGTTCTTTTCAAGTATTATAGAGATTCATATTTTACAAACACAACGGTGATTGCATAACGATTTATATAAAGTTTGTTCGCTTATAACAAAGCTGATTACATTCTGTAAATTACCTATTTTTCAGAATCAGATAAGTAAATATAATCATGCTTCAGACGATGAGGTAATAATAATCTTCGGTTTCAATTTTGGACAATACTTACTTAATATTCGATAAAATATACAATCTTAAGATGCTATATTTTTTGTGGAAAGGTTTTAACAAACATCAAATTTAAATACAATCACCCAGTCACTTTAGAATTACATAAACTATTGTACGTTTATAAATGAATAATATATTTGTAATATCCCAATGAGTAGAAAAATAAAATTTTCTGACGTTTTGTGACTTAGTGTAATCCATTTCTTTAGAGAATAAATAACCATATTAGTCACGAAGTGTCAGAAAATCTAATTTTTCTACTCATTGGGATATTACAAATATATTATTCATTTATAACAATCTACCCAATGTTCAATCTATTCAAGATTATCAAATTAAACTTTGGTAATGATTGTAGGTTTAGATTGTACTCAAAATATCCTATCCTTTGTAATTAGAAACTAAACAATCCACATATGAAAAATAAGAATTTCCCTAAAGCAAACGTTATATTCATTTATATCCGTTATTCAGTTAGTTTATTCTCATACTTTACTTACTTCGTAATTGTATATTAACTATAATGTAGATTACCTGACTTGCATAAAAATAGATTTTATGATAACAAATATGTTGTTAACCGAGGTAGTGATTAAACATAATAAAGACAACATGATAAAGGGACAAGTAATCCATCATTTTATGTAAGTCAAAGCTCAAATAAAATCATGACAAAAAATGTAACAATCTATGTAAGTTATAAAATATTAAAAGATAAAATGTATGAAAATTCAAAGTTCAAATACTCAAATAATAAAAGAAGACATAATGTGAGGTAAAGAAAAATAATTTTTAAAAAATCTTCATTAACCATTAGACTATGAACATTAAAACTGAATCTATTATCCCAAAATTTTATACACTATGATGTGTATAAAATACTAGTTCAAACCTGATATATGGACAAGAACGATAATGATTGATTATTTGCTTAGTCAGACTTGTAGATAGTTTGACAAGTGTTAGATGAATTATATATTTTCTTGCCCTTATTATTATTATTATTGACTGATTGTTGATTGCTGTTTGATTATTGTCGGTTTTTGGTGTGAAAATATATTTACATTCTAATAAGGTTAATTACATCTTGCCTTCCAAAACAGAGAATTTACGAGGACACTCCAAAAAGGTTCACAAACCCAGAACAAATTACTTTTCAGCTGACTATCGACTTTCCCATCGAATCATCAACGAGTGGAATTCATTACCTCAGCACGTGGTTGAGGCTCCATCCGTCGACTCTTTCAAAAAAAAGTTGGATCAACTGAGAGACCACCATTGTCAGTACTAACACAGGCCATCAAGCCTCCTGTCTTTTCCAAACTGAAACTGATGTTCTTGATTTGAGTTGTGTTGAAGTCTTGTAGAATCGACATTGGGAGGGAATTTAATATAGATATTTATCTAAGGTAAATTAGCGTTCCATTCGTGTAAACAAAAATCTCCAAGTTTTATAACAAAACCATACTAATATATCAAGAAATTAATCTTTACAACTGATAGTTTCATCCTTAAATTAGTAATATTTTTCATATTTATCATATAGTTTTATGCACAACAAAATTTAATCGATTAGTTAACAATGTGAACAATAATTATTATTTGTTATTCTGACTATTAAGATCATAAGCGTATCTGACTCATGGTATTTAAGATGATATAAAATCAATTTTTTAAGAAATGTAAACTTTATCACATTTTAATTAAACTTATATTAAACACATTTAATGGTTGTCATTCTATAATGCTAAAAACATAGATGATTTGAAAAGAAAGAAAAGAAAAAAATCAAAACAATTACATTGTCATATGTGTCTTGAATTAAAAACATTATTAACTTGTTTAGTTTTAATATCATCATAGTTCTATCACAACTTAATACATGAAGATGTTTTCGTCCAAAATTATTTGAATTGATTGAACTAGATCAAATTTAATAAAATCATAATAGAAGTTTACAATAAACTTTCATAATTAGAATTAGTGGAGAAAATCATTCTAGTACCATTATTTCTTAGGATTTATTATTAATAATCAGTAAAGAAAGCAATATAAGTTTGTATAAGTAATTGATTTTGTTTAGAGAATAAGTATTTTTTTGGGTACTTAACTAAACATTAATACTACCATAAACTATCAGTTTATTTATAACATATAAATAAGCTATGTCCTGAGTAGTTGGATTTCGGTATGAAAATGCAAGCTTCCAATATACAAGTCTAATCAGTTACTTGAATGTCAAAACCTAAGATGAGGAGGAATCTTTATTGGCTAAACCAAACCGAGAGATACGTAACCAATGGTTGGGACTCTTGGTGACATGGTTCAGAAACGACCACAATGGCGTAGGTGTATACATTCTCTGTCTTCCCTTAAACTAAGAGATTAAAATCATTTCATATTTTTCTTTCTACGAACTAATTCTTTCTTCCTGTGCTATATCCTTATATGCAATCTTTACTTTATATATTACCACCATTGACTTGACCACTACTATGAATCCGGTGTTGATCTTGCTGTGCTAATGCGGTATGGCAACTTAGACAGATGTATATATGTGCTTGGTCCTACGTTGTAGCTGATATATATATATATATATATATATATATATATATATACCTGCCTCTTAAAAATCGAAGCTACCTACCTAGCCTTTGTTATAAGTCTAATTCCTTAGAAAAGAATTCCAAATCTTGGCCATCTGAGTGCACTTATCATTTGGTCTATGCCTAATTGACCCACTCTATGAAGACCATGTCAAGTGGTCACAAACATAATGACTACAAGCAAATTTCATTGTTCAATACTAAATTGAGTTTTTTTTAATTTCATTCTTAAGATGTTTCATTATACTGTTTTATGAACTATGGAATTAGACAAGTTTCGTTGTGGTAGACAAGTTCAATGCTCCAGACTTTAACATTTCATGTTGGATGTTGCAGTATGAGAACATGTAAATTTATCAACATTTGTAGTATAAAACATTGGATGGTTTCTTGGTTTCCTGTATGTTTAAATATGATTTTTATAATAAGATTGTTAGCATAATGACCGAAAATATAACGATAAGATTTTTGTTATTGAACTTAAGAATTTAGTTTTTATGCCAAAATGCAGACATAAATTTACCAACCTATGAACTTCCTACTTAAAGTGTTGATGTTATCGACAATGACGAAGAAAGCTTTGTAACTAAATCATCTGACTCAGAGGACTCAATGTTATCAAAAATATTTAACTCTGTTATGCGACTATTTTAAACAAAAACATTAAAAAGATCTTATGAATTGATTGGGTGATAAAACAATCTAAGTGATTATGGAGTCTACTAAATATCAATCAGTTTCATCTATAGTGTAAGTTTTGATAATTTTTCAGGTAGTTTTCACAAAAAAAATTAAATTTACGGTTCAAAATGAGTTAAACATAAATCTGAAAAGATTTTGTCATGATAGTTTATTTATTACTGATTGGAAAAAGAATTCAGAAACACTAAGAAGATATTTTATCTTAATATGAGACCATTTATCATCTAAAGAATTATAATTTTTTGACACTATGGCCTTTAGATAAGTAATACTTTGATCTCAAACTCCCAAAGCTTAATTAATCTATCATATTGTCTGATGGTAACTCACCGTCGTAGCAAGCATTTTCAAATAGTTCTCATTTGTGAAACTGTGTAAATTATTCACATACATTGGTTGTTTGAATATTCTCATTGTTGTTTAGAATTTCAAACGATCAGTCTCTTATTGTCATATTTGCATCGTGTATGAACTGCCTCAATGTTGTCTTAAGTCACAAGCACTTTAATCAGAGATGGATGTTGGTTAACAGTGGAATCCAGGTTGTGCGTTTCATCTTATCTGGGACTCCTCAACCATCGCGTAATCTACTTGGCTAATGAGTGCAAATGACCGCTACGAATTAAAAATCACCCGATCGCAAAGCTAGGGATTATCTGGACTCAGTAGCTGAGTGGATAACGCGATGATGTTTAAAGCAAACGATGTTGGGTCTACGTCTCGAGGTGAACATCGAGTCTATGATGCAGGTACATCCAGATGACGAGTCCCAAATAGGGCGAAAGGCGCGTGACAATAAATGAATGGTGAAGTTTGAGACAATTGATGGAAGATTTGCAAATGAAGGATTGAACGTATGGTTTTCACATTTCATCAAACAACTGTGTAATTTTGTATTAAGATACACTTGGTTGTCTCCACCTGTGTGTTCTCGTTTATGACAACTAGACACTTTAAAACGTGAATATTCATCTCACTTTTTCGTGGTACTCATAAATCGAAACCAATCACCACCTCTTTCAAAACTGAAATTAAAATAAGTAGACTTACAATATCAAAATACTAGTTTTTTTAAGACTACAGGCATAAAATTTAAGCAATTATGAGGGTTTGCATTTTTATGTTGTCGATATTGATGTCCATCCTAAGAGGAATACTTTAATATAGTGTTATGTCACTAGTTTTTGTATATCTTGGAATATGGTAATCGGTGGAATAAGGACATCTCTCTCGTTCTATATGAAACGTCTCAGATGAATGTAGTCATATTTCAACATTCATGTACATTCTGAAACTGAAACCTATTACCTTTTTCTTCAATTACCTGCGCGTTATCCACCTATTTACTAATCCCAGAATATATAATTTATAGAATATTATACATGTATAAATGTTCCATAAAATCCATATAGGCTTTTGGTGGATATTTTGTACAATTTAAAGATCATTTTCAGTGATTCTCTAACCAAAGTCACTTTGTGATGGAACTTATCTTTATGTTGGACTTTGTTGTTCTACGAGGCTTCGTTTTATAATATCTGTATGAATTATTTTGTTCATCTATTGCTAATTGGATTTTCAGGATTTAGTTGAATTCTTCAAAGACATTTAGTAAATTAATACTAAATAGCAAAGTTTCTATTAATCTCTATCAACACTAAAACAAGTTTCTACCTGTACATTTTATTATTCTATCACTAAACTTTGATTTTTATTAGTTATTTGAATATAATTATCAGAGATCCTTCTTCAACCAAGGTTTTCACTATCAGTAAATGTTTGTCATTCACTAATTATCGATCAACACAAGAACATAAAAAATGGTCAATCACTTGTAATTTTTTGTTTCTTTCACGTTCATAAGTTATACAGTAATTTTTATTGCAGTAGTTTGTAAATGAGTATCTATAAACGAAAACTATAGCAAAATGAATCCTCAGTAGCGTTTAAACATTTTTAAACAGCAGCCAAATTAAAGGTTAATTGAGTAAGATTAGAAAATGATTAACTGGAATTTCTTATAGTTCCAGTTATGAAGTATCGTTTCAGGTTGTCTTGCCATTGAGAAAGCTACCATTTTTTATATTCCATCACATGTCTTTTGCTTGTGATTGTCATGCATCATAGTTTATGTCTTGCTAAAACATGCTCATAGTTTTACCCCATTTTTGTGTTTATTTATATAAACGTAAATTTTCATTTTACACAAAACAATTTCTTTATTTCAAAACCCGGTTACGGTTGAAAAATCGCTACAAGAAGGTGTTTGATTTAATAAATAAACGGTTACGTATTAGCTAACAGGACCTGAAGTTCACACTGTAGATATTTGAAATAATCTATTTCGTAAAATTCAAACTACTTACAACATAAACAGGTACAAATCACTAAGCTTTTTAAGTTGTCGCAGTTCTCCTTTTCAATTTCGTTTTGAGGAGAAAACCATCAAAGAACTAACCAGTTTGAAATGACATACTGGCTTCATTACTGACAACCATTAATTTAATCACTATTGAACAGCCTAATCTTGTTATTTAAGAAAGACAAAAGTATTTCTAATCAAATTATTGCAGGTTATTTTCGAATCACATTTATCCCATAGCATCTATGAATATTATGGTTTTCTTGAGATTACTTAATTTCTTACCGTAACAACATTTCACTTAATTTCGAATAAAGAATTTTTCGTAAATCTTTTGTTAATAATAAAATCACCTATGAGTGAATTTAAATTAGTAAAATGAAGTCAGTGGCATTGTTTAATAGGCAGGAAATTTGATAACTTTTAATAGGCTGAGATGAACCATCGATTGAATGATACAGTTTTTGATCTAAGAATCACTAAAAATCCCCAATTATTTCAGACTGGCCATACAAAAGATCTTATCCCAAAATTCCCTGTTAATTACTTCTAAACTACCAAGGAGCATCAAGTACTGATTTCCGTAGACTTAAAATTTTCCTCCTTTTTCATTACCTAAAATAGTTTTTAGCTCTTCTACATGTAACTATCAAAAATAATAACTGTGGAAGGAGATATAAAGCAAATAGGAATATAACTCTGAACACTTTTTAATTCAGTTTTATTAAAATTAGAAACTTAGCTGTTTATGTATACCGATCGACTACATCCTTGTCTAAGTTGATTATAGAAATAATTCTGGAAGACAGATTTTGTTATAATTGTATACTATAAGATCAGTTTATTATTTAGATTGTGGTTTCGAGGAAGGAACAATAAAATACTGAAGTGAATTAAAATAAATCACATGTAGTTAACTGTTTGTATCCATGTGTTTTACCATAAAAAGTAATTTCCTACTTTAGAAATTAAACTAGTAATATTGTTCAGTTTTCCACACATTTTAGTTTTTATTCTCTGATTATAATGATTATAGTAAGATAAAGAATGATTAATAAATTACCGTTAATTAAATAAATTAATAAATAATATAATTTTAAATCGAACCAATTTTTTGTTTTTCCATGATAAAGGATATCACATGTTTCGTTAAGTATAAAAGATATAGTGAATTGTTCAGTAAGAAGTAGTATTTATATTACCATGGTTGGCAAACACCATTATCTATCGAGTTAGTCAGTTCATACTGGAAAATGTTGAGTGACATATTTAAGATAGCCTTTGGTCAGAAAGCAGCGTTGTTTGTAGTTTACATCATTATGGAGAAAGATTCAATAAAAACAAAAAATAGGACCACAGCAGAATGAATCCGTCAAATGAGACGGACTGGAACCAGAGGACGTAAGTAAAGTGTTTCATCTAACAAAATAAGCGTCAGAGGTTAGAGTAAATTGAAATTGAGTCAAAGTTGATTTTCAACAAGCATATGTATGGCATGATCACTTTTTTTTAGATAGATAAATATTTTCACCTAATTATTTTGGTTTTACCCTGGTTTGAACCATCAGTAACACCAAATAACATATATCTTAACTTCAAATTTAAATTATCTATTCAGGAAAATAATTAAAAGTAACCTTAGAAAGTAAGTATTATTACTATGATTTGACTAAATTTCACATAAATTAAAAATTGGGTAGGTTATTTGTATGAATAGAAATACCAATATATTTGTAATATCCCATTGAGTGAAAAACTGCACGAGTAGTGCTAGGACCCCTTAATGGTATTTATTTATTTCTTAATTGAATTGTAACTTCTGACTTAACCTTTGAACCACTTGTTGTAAACTCGATGGACTGCATTTTCTACCTCAGCTCAATTGTGCGAGACACTAACTTTAACAACGTTCTCATTGTTCATAATTGCTTAATTCAAACATAACAACGTGAAGTTATCAAAAGAAATCACTTTTTTATATGAATCATGTTCTCTATTACACAAAAATAATAGCTGAGAATCTTTATCGCATATCATAGTATAATAGATTTAAACTAGGAATATTGATTAATATTTAATAGGACATTGTACTACATTCACTTGGTGTTGTTTTACTTGTATCTTCCAATTGTTATTTGGGATTGTGATTGATCAGTGTCATGTTGGCATATGTACATCCTGTGCGGATTGCCTCTCCATAGCCTTAAGTCACGAGCTTTTTAAACAAAGATGGATAGGGGCTAGCGTCCTGGATTCCACTGCTAGCCACTATCCATTTTCGCTTAAAAACATTGTAATACTGCTTATGTATCACAATATAAAACTTTTAATTTATTATCAAATATATAGTATACACACAAGCAAATTATATATTGTTTAAACAAATATATACATGAAACTATTGAAACATTGGATGTAACCTCAAGAAGACGGTCTACAAAATAAGTATTTGATCCACTAAATAAAAAATATAAAAAGTATCATTTACATGCATTTAGATTTTTTAGGAAAAACCTCAAATTTATTCCTGAATATAAACAATAATATAACGAATAACAAAGCTGTAGATAATTCACAAATAAAACTACGATCTGACACTACTTTGTTTAACCAAATATTTTGAAAAGAGAAAAACCTTTCACCGTGGACGGAACCAAAACAAATTATACAATACAAGTATTTGTACAAACTTAATTTAACAACAGTTATGTCGCTTGATCGGCCATAAAAAGACAAAAGATAACAGTTATGCCGTAATAATGGATTGTAGTCTGACGAGTACTCCAAGTGCTAACTCATCATTCCATGGTTTTGCAACAACTTGTACACCGATAGGCAAACCTTCGGAACGTTTATACTGTTCAGAGAACATGATGTTAAGCGAGGAACTTTTGAAGTTGTCGTCAGAGATGTCATCACATGCTTGCAAGTCACACTTTTCAACACGTCCCACGGATAAAGTACCAGCTGGGCAACCGAGTAAATTATATAAACATGTAAATGGTAATACACAATTAGTTACATACGACGGACTATCATCCCATGGAGCAGGTATTGGTGCAGTTGGGCATACTAACACATCTAGTTCCATTTCATTCCACAGTGAGAAAAATTCTTGCTTATAATCATTAATTTGATTGATCAATGTTTTACGATTTTGATTGTAGCCTAAACCTCGTAGAACAACTGCTGTGGCTGGATAGTCATTTTCAATACCTTTTGCGCGCCATTCAGCTATTCTGTGTCGAAGAAAACGGGGTAGCGCATAGAATAAATGCAAGAGACGCTGCCTATAATCTACCAAAATGTCTCCGTTTCCGTGAATATATAGTAACTTTAGGGATTCTGGTTCCATATAACTAGCCAATAAACTTATAGTCATCTGGTATGCTTTACTTGGTGTCGGCAAAGCAAAGTCGATCACTTCGTGACCTTGTCTAGAAAGCTCATCACGAACTTCTGACATGACTCGTTGTACTGACGGTGAAGCTTTGACTAGACCATCAAAATTTGAATAAAAACCAATTTTCAATTTCCTATTTCCTTCTGCGATAGATTTATATTCCTTATCGTTGAATGCCATCGGACATAACGTGCAATCATGTGCGAACATATTTGAGGTCCAAAGGCTTTTTAAAACATCAACAATATCTTCAATTCTATGACCCATAGGAGAAGGAACTGGTAACAAGTTTTCAGGTAGTTCAATTGGCAATTTCAAATCTTTATTGCTCATCCTATATGGAGTTGGTTTGAGTGCTGTTTTTCCGCAAAATGCAGCTGAAAGACGTGCTTCACCCAATATATCGAAACCAACAGCTAACGGAGAACCCTTATGAACTAACAAAGGCCCCATACCACTGACGCACGCTCGTCCAGGATGTGTAGGATGACTTGTTAATCCAGTTATTGGGTTGTTCGCTGATAAGCCAAGAATCTTTTGCTTTACATTTGTCAATATCACTGGAATTGCACCACAATCACGCAATGCTTTTACTAAAATACAGTCATCTTCTGCACCACGATTGGTGCGTATTGTATATCCCATTGTATGGTCATAACCATGAATAGGAAATATTTCTTCCAATGCTATAGGTATCCCATGAATTGAACTAACATTTTCACCTTCTGAATCCCGTAAGCTATCAGCTAATATAGCGTAGACGTCAGCTTCATAAATAATTTCACTGATGCAGTTGGACCTCGTACGAATAAGTTCTAAACCACGAATTTGATAAGCGTCTAAAAGATTGACTGACGTAATACTTCTATTACGTAACTTCTCACGCAGTTGACTCAAGCTCATTGATGTCAGTTCATTATTGTTGTTGAGTGATAACTCTTTGGATTGACTGTCCATATTATGTAAACCTTGAAATTTGATATGTAATCGGCCATGTTTATCCGTTATATCATCTCTTTTCTTATTTAATCGTTTATAAACACTATATCTTCTCCAACAGAATAAAAGACATCGAAATATTAGCCATTTTTTAAATAAATAACTAAAAATATGACATGTTGGCAAACTTAAAACCAATCGAATCGACGTAATCAATGTTTTACTTAATATATAAAATGTTGCTAAATCTAGAAGGTATATAAGCGTTAATCCATCAATAAACAGACACAGAGTATTTGTTACATGGGACATAATGTTGATCAACTCTTGTTCTAATTGTCTTGTTGAACACACAGAATTATTGCTCTCTGTAATCAGAATAGAAAATAAAGTTTAGTGAAATACAATCATATAAAAAATAACAAAGAAGTTTTGTTTTAACAGATTAATAATAATATATTATTTCTGTGTTTAAGTAGTGTACAAACACTTAGGTAAGAAGTAATTCATAAGAACAAACACAGATATACCATAAGCAATAGACAAAATAAAGAATGTCCATGAATTTTAAACCAGTATAAAATATTAATTATGAATTTAAAGAGGTTATTTCAAGTTTTATTTTAAAAAAATAAGTGAAGTGCATTAATCGTATAGCATGTTTGGAGGTTATTTTAATTTAATTTGCTCGTTTTGTGTTAGTTAAATGTATTTCTTTTCATTCACCATAATTGGTAAAATCTGTCGATCAGCTTTGTAATGTAACTAATAGTCTGATAAGGAGAAGTTCCATCTTGATGTAATCAGTTAACTTTATAAATGACTTAGTCCTAGATCGTTTGGTTAGGTTTTGATATCCAAAGCGAACAACCCTATGGAAGCTTCTTCGACACTACGGCGTGCCTCAGAAGATAGTCAATATCATACGGAATTCCTATGATGGATTAAACTGCAAAATCGTGCGTGGAGGACAGTTGACAAAGTCGTTCGAAGTAAAGACCGGTGTCAGGCAAGGTTGCTTACTCTCATCCTTTCTCTTTCTCCTGGTGATCGACTGGATCATGAAGACGTCAACATCTGAAGGGAAGCACGGGATACAGTGGACATCTAGGATGCAGTTGGATGATCTAGACTTCGCAGATGATCTGGCTCTTCTATCGCACACACAACAAATACAGAAGAAGACGACCAGTGTAGCAACATCCACAGCAGCATTAGGTCTCAATATACATAAAGGGAAAAGCAAGATTCTCCGATACAACACAGCATGCAACAATCCAATCACAATTGACGGAGAAGCTTTGGAAGATGTAAAAACCTTTACATATTTGGGCAGTATCATCGATGAACACGGTGGATCTGATGCAGATGTGAAGACACGGATTGGCAAAGCAAGAGCAGCATATTTAAAACTGAAGAATATCTGGAACTCAAAACAATCGGCAACCAACACCAAACTCAGAATTTTCAATACAAATGTCAAGACAGTTCTACTGTATGGGGCGGAAGCCTCGAAAACTACGAAATCCATCATTCAAAAGATACAGGTGTTTATTAACAGTTGTCTGCGCAAAATACTTCAGATCCGCTGGCCGGACACTATTAGCAACAACCTACTGTGGGAGAGAACAAATCAGATCCCAGTGGAGGAAGAAATCAGGAAGAGGCGCTGGAAGTGGATAGGACACACATTGGGGAAAGCACCCAACTGCGTCACAAGACAAGCCCTCACATGGAATCCTCAAGGTCGAAGGAGGAGAGGAAGACCAAAGAATACATTACGCCGGGAAATGGAGATAGATATGAGAAAAATGAACAATAATTGGATGGAACCAGAAAAGAAGGCCCAGGACAGAGTGGGTTGGAGAATGCTGGTCGGCGGCCTATGCTCCATTGGGAGTAACAGGCGTAAGTAAGTAATTCAAAGCGACAATAACAAACTATGTTGTTTAAAAATAACAGTAAATATTTCATTGAATCAATACATAATTCAATGAGCATAAAGAGAAATTATATTTAATTATATTTATTAGCCATCATACATATTCTACAGAAAATCACTATCATAATTAAAATTTAATAGAAAAAGAATTATAATAAAGTATTAAGTAGTTAGATAAGTGTTGTTTATGTCACTCCTAACAATATATAATCGAATACTATTAAGTGTGAATACTAGAAAACCACTCAGACAATAGTTTATTCTTGCTTATAAGTAATTCTCTTTGGAATAATCGAATTAATACTGTAGCTATATCCGTTAATAATAACAGCTTACAACAACGATTGCATGAATCATAAAGTATTACAAATAAATCGACTTCTGGTCTGTTGAAAATATGTACATAGCCTACTGAGTATTGGAAATTTCCAAATTAACAATAAGACATATTTACATATATTTGCGCTAAATTTATATCACTTTCTTTATTTTCACCTACTACTATCAGAAGTTTCTAGATCATAACTTGTTCAGTCATGTTAACCAAAACTCAGAAGAATGGTATCGTTTATCTCCTTAACCATTACATTATAACTTCATTTCATATACTAAATCATGTAGAAACATGTACAAGACAAACTTTTAGCACTACTACCATGGATCTATGTTATACTGGCAAGACTTAGGTAAAATAATTTATATAACTTTTTATATATAGTACAATAACTTTAAAACGCACTCTATGTGCGATAGGAAGTCGATGATAGTTTTCTATTGCTTATGTATAGAGAGTATTGTTCGCTCCATCAGATTTCATATCTAATCCCATTCACTTTCGGGCACTGTTAGAGATATGAAAGTGGTTGTCACTTCCTGGTTTCCCATGCCGTTGGACGATGTTTTGTTTTGAGTTAAAGAAAACATAAACTGGGTTAGGGTGTTCTTGAGGACGTATGGAGCTTGGCCGCAGGGCTCTAGGGATAACTGTTTGAGACTAGTTACACACAGTGTTTTTTTAAAAAGTCCCTGATGTATTAGCTATATACTTTAATGACCTTACCATAGGAAATGAAATTCACGGCATAAGTGGAAGTGTAATATTTTTATGACCGGTCAAGTCTAAGCCATCCTTCTATAGTGAAAAGGCACAATCGCTGTATATTCTGGTTGTCTTGCATAAGCCTCTTACTGGCGTTACACCTCTGTTCAGTCATAATTTGAATTTCTCACAACGACCTTTAGTTAATGCTTTTAGTATCACTGTTCCCAAACTAACCTTTCTGTTACCTTAAGATTTCATTGAACAAATATTTCAGTCCAAAAAACTTGATTTGGTAGTCCCGATATGTAAGCTGGACCGCCATATCACTTATTTGAATATTGTTTGATATGGTGATTTATAGGGGTGTATTGAAAATTAGTTGTTAGTTTTTCCCTTACCTTTTAAAATGAATAAATTCTGGTCTCATGCGGTTCAGTCTCTGTAAAATATTTACTCTAACGAAAAACACTTTTTATCTCTCTTTCAAGTCAGTTGGTTAATCATCTGGTAACCTTTTAGAATAATAAGATTATTCACTGTTCACATTTTTTTCAAAAAATGAAGTCATTAAAACTTTATATATAAAGTTGGAATTGTAACCATAAAGGTCAGGTATTCAGTCACATTTTATCTTTAGAAATCAATTTTTATTAAGTAAATATCATCCGACTTGTAATGTTTAATTATTTCTACTGAAAATTTGTAATAAAAATATACAAAATTCTTTGGGTTTATGTTTCATTATCTTTCTTACTCGTGTATCCATTACCAGGGTGTATTGTATGATAGTTAAAGTAAGCCAATGTGTCAGTGGATGAATTCAGAGAAAAAAATTTTTCGACGAAATTATTTACTTAAGCCGTAGTATATTCATATTTATTGTTGTTTGATAAATGTTTATAAATCTATCAGAATTAACACTAAAAGGTGGTCAGAGATTTCAAATATCAAAAGAAGATTGCTTAATGATCGAGAGTTTAGAAAAGGAAGGGGATATGAGAATAATTTATGGGTCAGAAATGTGAAAGGTAGTTGTTAACTTAACAGATACGAAAAAAAATTTGAAAATGTAAAGGTCATATAACAATGGACCAATAATCATGAAAAATGGTTTGAACGTCATATTAATTGATTGTGGTTTTGAGAAAAGTAAAAAAATAACCGAAACATACTGAAAAAAGGGGATTAGGGCCACGAAAGGATGAAAGATTGAGCGTATTGCTTTGGAACACAGAGTCCAGGTTTAAAATGGTGAGTTATCAACGCATCAGTAGTACATCAAATTTTGACTTGACATCCCTTTGATCACATTCTTCCTACCATGTAGATTATTTTGAAGGAGGACTCCTTTGGAGTCTAGAATTGATATGATGCTTGTTCATTGAGTTATTGATTGATTGTACATTCCTTTCTTAAAAGCCATGCCTAACAATGTTCTGAAACGTGTTTAGAAAGCGTTTACTTTGTGCAATCAGTGTAGCCTGCCCCGTAAGATGCACATAATCGTGGTCCAAATCAGGAGTTCATTCTTTAAGTATCCATAATAGTAGGCTTGTTTGAGAAGACATTATGTAGCGCAGCTGGGTAAAAAGTCTTTCTAAGGAATTTCGAAATTTGTTTACCCAAGAAATTTTTTAGCCCTATCTACGTTAAATATGATATATTCTCTTTCTATTTTCCTATAGTTTCAAACATCTATAAATATGTATGTTGTGAGTCGATCTGATGGAAAACTAAGATGCACATATTGATATAGACAAATGGTTTACATTTTCAGTCACAGTGATATCATAATATTAAAGAATTTATACCGGATGTAATATGATATACTAGTGCTTTACGAATGCCCTTCGACAGCTGTTACCGTGACGATTGAACGTCAAATGTTTTTTTGCAGCAAGATTACAAATTATTTGAAAAGCAGTTTTGGTTTAGTGTTTTATAGAAATTACATCTGCCATTTGCTTCTGCAGAGATTCATAAGCGTACTATGATGAAAGCTTCCAGAATATTGTGCAATAAATGTCGATTTAACACATTTATGACAATTTCGTAATTTAATACAATAAATGTCAATGAAAACACCGTGTACTCTTTTGTGTTGAATGCCAAGAGTCTTTTGTGTTTAGAAGCTATAGATACTACCTGACGTTTCAAAGTTCGGGAATGTTGTGTAACGGTTCAAAATCCAATGTTTAGATCAATGAGCTACCTACCAAGGAGGAAACACAGATTTTAACTCTTGGTACTGACCACTTCTACCGTTTCTGAATAGATTTTTAAGAAGACCAGTAACGAGACAGATATTTAAACCCAGTTTACACTTAA